CTTTCCCTGTGGGCCCTAAATATATAGAAAGGGGAAGCAATCCAAAAGAGAATTGATGCAGCATGGGAAACTGGCTCACTGTATAAACTTGGCTCAGTCTGTTGTCTGATCTGGAATGGTTTGTTTCACTGATAAAGGAAGGTGGACTGGGATGGCTGCCTGATATCTGGTAAGATCTCATCTAGCTCAGGATGTTGGGTGGTGACTAGATGGTGTCCACATCCACTACACGGCTACTGGCATTTCCTTGTGAGCTCAATGAGCAGGCAGGAACCCAGTGTGTATAGCAAGAATGGTGAGCCACACCCTGGGCATGAGTCAGACCCCTAATCCACCCAACATGGGGAAGGTTGATAGGGGTGGTGCATGTGGCAAGTTTCGTGTCCGCCTACCTTGTCCTTTCTTTGTCTTTATATTAATAAGGAAGGGAGTTGCGTGGCAAGGCCCTGCCATGGGAGGAGCCTTTCACTCTGCCAATAGTGTCTGGCAAAGCTGCAACATTGTTTTCCTCTTCCTAATATTTCTTAGTTCTATATTGCTTTGGGGGTGTGGAGGTGTAAGAGCAGGGAAGGATCAGCTATGTAGTTTGCGAGCTCCAGAGCAAAATGAAAATGCAGACCTCTGGTTCAAAATTATGAAGTCTTTTAAGACAGTGACAGCAGAGCAAAACCAAGCAAAAGAACCTTCTGTATTCAGGGCCCTGTGCAACTGCACAGGTTGCACACCCTTGAAGCTGCCCTGGGTGCAGGGGGATCAGGGAGTGGGCTGGGGATCTGGGGTAGAGAGGGAGATGGGATTCCACTGGAGCAATAGACACCAGACTGTCACCTTGAACCAAAGCCCAAAATGACAAGAATTCTTCTCCAGCTGCACCGAATGTGAAAAATGGTGCAAGCGTTATTGCAGCTTGGTGCCCAGAGAGTTCCAAGCTATCATATTTAGATTCTATGGCAGTCAAGAGCAGACCTGATTTTGCAAAGGAGGAGGAGCCAAGACAGCGAGAGTGACCTGCTGCAGATCACGCTGCTGGTTAGTGGCAGATGGGGCTAACTCTCAGGCCTCTAACTTCCATTCCCTTTCTAGCCCACGGTGAAGCTAACAATGAAACTGTTCTCTCTCATTGTGGGTTACATTGGAACTTGGGAATAAGAGGAGTGACTTGCAGGAAGGGAAATGCGATAAATGATAATTGAATGGAGAAAACAAAACAGTTTGGGAAACCAAAGCAGTTTGTCTGAGTCCTATCTGATACACAACATACAGCAAAGCAGACAAATGTCTGTGCAGCAAAGCAAAACTGGGAGAAGGAGATATTTTCAAATAAAATACGCATATTTCCAACCAGCCTTGAGCTCATCTGATAAGGGACAGATTGTCCAGAGTAAACAGAGAGAGGAGAAAAGATGCGTTGGGCTGAATTTAGTCCCCTGTCGAAATCACAGGGGAGCTAACTGCTCCTCCTTCTCCTGTTTGTACCTCTCCAGCAGCAAGGCCTTATGGGGCTGTGAAGGGAGACAAGGTAGTTCATATACTCGTGCATTTGGTCCTTCATCCAGCCATCAAACATTTCTTGAGCACTCTATTGGCATTGTATTGTGCTAGATCCTAATAAGAATATCTAAGACATGGCTCCTACCTTTAAAGAGAGCAGACAGATATGTATCAGGGGAGAAAACTAGCCACAAGAGAGTATAAATTAGTGATGCATGCTGTGTGCTATCAGAGCTCAAGGGAAGGAGACATTCATACTGCTTACATTTCTCATGATAACCAGTTTGCTTCCACAGCTGCTGCCAGTGTCTAGTCATCATGACTAGTCCTCTTTCCCAAAAGACTCCTGGGGTGGCGGCGGAGCTGGGGTGTGGGGATGTGGGGTTTTTACAGACGGTACCTGTTTGCCCTGGTGATGAATGGCTGCGTACCAATCTTTCTCTGCACGATCCACTAGCAGGAAAACCTGGGGTGGAGGTGGTTGTGGTACAGACCTGGTGAGGATCTGTGCCTACGTGTACTTTCTCGTGCCCATCTGCTGCCACAGGGCATGTGTGCAAGAGAACAGCCCTGCTGAGGCCAGGGAGAGGGCCAACGGTGTGATCCTCGGGATGTCACTCCATCTTCGTCTGAAAAGTAGCGGAAGGGAGGAAGTCTGATAAAACAGTGTTTCCTAGCCCAAATAAGTAACAACCGACATTGGTCTTTCAGTGACAGAGGAAGAAGGGGGAATAAACTGTAAAGGCTGTCACAGAAGAGAGAGAAGGGACAAGGCACCAAAAGGAATGATCTCTAAGCACCTATCTAGTGACATTTTTCTATGATTCTCTGCTCCTCAGCTGTTGAGCATGTCATCCACCAGGACATCTGTACATAGCCTATGATGTGACTAGAAAGAGTAGATGTGAGGTGAGCCCCACGTGTCGTCGTATGTCCCATCATAATAGTGCTGCACATTCACCCCAATACTTAGCATTTATGAAGCTCATGTCACCTCCAGAATCTCATTTTCTCCCTCAACAGCCCAGGGAGGCGGGTGGGGTCTGTATGATAAGTCCCATTGCACAGAAGAGACAACTGAGGCTTGGGGAAGACTGAGCTACTTGCCGTTCATCCCAGTGAGTGGCAGACAAGGGACGTGAGCCCCGGTTTTCTGTGCGACATTCTTTCCCTGCCTGTGGCCCTCCTGGATGCATCATTTTCTGCTCCAGTTGCTGCAGGGTGCTGTGAGACAGGAGCACAGCATGAGCTGGGAGAAGCGTTCAGCGGCCACTGGAAACCTAGTGATAATGAGGAATCTGCCACGTGGACATGTGATGTCTTCCCACAGAGTCTCTTGCCCTTTAAAATAACATCTTTCAACAGCAATGCATCGGTTGGACCCACTCTGAAGAGACCAGGCTGGGATCCAGCATCTCTCAGCTTCTCCCTCCCCCATGTTTTGCCTTCATCCCAAGCCATCATAAAGACAGTAGGAGCTGAGTGGGAACAGTATTTGTCTTGCAATTACTTCTAATTGCCCTGTAGTTTTGTGGTGTATAAGTGGTGTGACCTAGATACAGTTCTGTGAAATTCTCTTTTCATCTTGGGGTCTGTATTAAGGAGGGGGTAAGTCAGTTGATCAGGGAACAGTGGCTCAATCCATCTCACAGTTAACATGTATCTATATGTAACTCCACTGTCTTCACTTGTCAAAATGCCGGATCTTCTTAACAGCCCAGATCTAAGGCTGCCTCTTCTGTGAAGCCTCCCTGGATTGCTCCCTCCTCTGATTCCCACAGCGCTTGTTCTGATCCTATCTGTGGTGCTCATCATTTTCTACATATTTCATCTTCCTGAACTCCTCATGCTAGAGACTGTGTCTAGTTCATTTTTCTATCCTTGCCCACTCTGAGAATTGAGAATGGCCAAGGTAGTTGTTCAGTTCACTGCTTATTGAGGGAATGCATAGACTGATTATGTCCTAGACGTTATGGAGGCACGTAAATATACTGTTCGCTCACTGTGACTTCTCCTAAGTGGCCTGAGGTGAGTCGACAGTTTGAACCTTATTTCCTATGGCATCTTGTCATGACTTCAGGATGCCTGGAACAGTGGGCAAATTTTTTGAGGGGTGAGTCTCAGTTTTTCTTTTAAAAGGGGAAAATAGCAACATGGAATCCAACCAGGGTAGTCTCCCAGTGCACCCTAGTTGTTTTGGTCATTAAATAAATACAACTGACTTGGCCAGAGTTTGCTGAATGGAATAGAGAATTTAGGATGGAAATTTGAAAATTTCATCACGTATATACAGCATTTTGTTTTCCATCCTCTTCTTTTTTCCAACAATCCACCTCATGCCAGAGACTATGTCTAATTCATTTTTTGTCCTTGTTGACTCCAAAAACTGAGAATGGCCAAAATAGTTGTTGACTTAACTACTTGTTGAGTGAAAGTACAAACTGATGATGTCCTAGACATTGTGGAGGCATATAAAAAGACACATGGACATGTGGTGTCTTTTCACTGTTAATACTTTACTTATATCGACTCTCTACTACGTAGAAAACCCTTGTCTGGGTTTTGAAATCAGTTCATTAAGACTCAATTACAGGGGCCAGCCCTGTGACCAAGTAGTTAAGTTCGTGTGCTCTGCTTTGGCAGCCCAGGGTTTTACCAGTTTGGATCCTGGGTGTGGACCTAGCACCACTCATTAAGCCATGCTGGGTGGTGTCCCACATAGCACAACCAGAGGCACTCACAACTAGAATATACAACTATGTACTGGGGGGCTTTGGGGAGAAAAAGAGAAGAAGAGAAAAAAAAGACTCAATTACATTTTCTAGCAATTGTTGCTATGTCAAGTCTTATCCTAGGTTCATTCTCATGTGCTTCCTTTCAAATTCTATCCACACCTCTGAAGGAGGAATGATACCCCCAATTTACAGATGAACTAAAGCATCGGCTCAGAATGGTAAAAATATGGTTTGCCATAGGTTGCAAAGCCATTAAATGACAGATCAGGATTCATTAAGTAGGTATTAATTGATCATCATTCATTCAATATGTATTTATTTAGTACTTGCTTCATGCTGGACATTGTAAGGAAAATACGGGTGAATAAGATGTGGTCATTACCCTCAAGGGGTTCACAGTCTGTTGAGAGGGACATACACTTAAATGGAAAACAATGTCACGTGGCAAACACTTGAGTAGAAATGCCGACCAGAGATTCTGCGTGCACACGGTGTTTTTGTTTGTTCTCATAGAGATACACTACTCTACACATCCTCTACAATTCTGATACAAAAGTGGTGATGATGTTCAAAATCACAAATATCCAGTAAGTCAAGTCATCATAAAAGATTAATAAAAGGAGGGTAGTCTTCAGGCTTAAGCTTTCTTACAGCTGGTTGGGAGCATACTGATGCCATGGAGGAATGGGCAGGCTGCTCCTGCTCACCTCATCAGAAGATTTCAATCAAAGGGGAAGTTGGCAGAACAATCCAGGACTTCTTGAAGGAGAGGACAGGAGAGAGAGATGTGTCACTGTGGAACAATAAAGGCCCCACCCACAGACCCAGTTTGCTGTCTCTGACAGGTTGAGTTCCACCCTGTAAACAGCCTCAATCCTTTCATTCGACCCTTTGTTTGTGATTGAGCATCTGATTCTCAGTCCATTTGGTGAAGCGAGATTCAGACAGTGGGGTGACAGCACGAGAGCTCCCGCCTGTTTGGCTTTATTTGAGCCCATCACACCTCCACCAGCTGCCATCCGTGGTCTGGCCCCATTCATCCAGGAAGAGAAAGAAGAACCTCCAGGACCAGCCACAGCCTAGTCAGGTAATGCCAGGTGGCTTGTCACTGGTTCTGCAAAGAGATGAGATTTCTCTCTATGAGCTTATTGCTCCTGTCCCTTCGCCTAGCTTTCTGGCCACCTCCACCACTGACTTACACCTCCACCTAGGCTCATAATTTTCATGACCGTATGTAAGTTCTCCATTCTTCCTTACTGCCCTGAGTTAGTGAGATTTGTAGACCAGCAGTTTTTAGCCTATAAAATCACTTGGCCTTCTTATCTATATATTGATTTTGATCTTAACTGCCCTACAAAATGGTAGGCTAGGTATGATTTTCTCCATTCGGTGGCTTAGTGAACAGAGGCTTTGAAATGAAACAGAAAATGATTTGTTTGAGTTTGGTCAGCAGGCTAAGGCCAAGATTAGATTTGATTCCTTCTTCTCTCTCCCTCTACTGTACCACCCAGCAGGTCATACCTTATCTCGAAAAGCTAAGAGAAGTGAAAGGACTTCCTGAACTGTCTAATGGCAAACAAAAGGTGTTATTTCCTTGCAGGCGGGTTGAGAGGGATATGTTTGAATTCATCTGATAGAGATTTTATAATGATATATAGGCTCCATCAAATAGCGCTATTTTTAGAGACCAAATGGGAGTATGTATGTAAAGGGACCTTGTAAACTGAAAAGTGATATGCAAATTCGAGAAGATGACTACATGGAGCCTGAAGCATGTTCTGGCTCTCTGTATAAGAAGGCTTTCCTTTGGGGCTGAATGACACTCTCCTAAAGTCAGCAGCAACATTATGAGGCACAAATGACAAAGGCCCTGGGGGAAATATTTTAGCTTTTCAGTCTTACTGTGGTATGTGGAAAAGCAAATCTCAACAGGGGGGAAAAACACCCCCAAATCCTTCCAAATTGACTGCTGCAATTTCCTCTCTTATGACAGCTATCATTATATCTCATTGTTCTACAGCTTTAAGAAAATCTCATCTTCAGTGATTATGTAGTTTATTTTTTAAGATGCTGATTTTAGCTATCATTTTTCCCTACATGCTCAAAAGGTTGTATCATTCTTAGTTGTGGAAGGCAATGTTTCCTTGTGTGTGTGTGTGTTTGAGTTTGTTATGACAGTGCTAATATTCATCCCTGCGGGCCCACAATGCAGTGGGTTGCGATGCTATACAATCTTTGGCAGACTTCTGTATATTCTTAGTGTCTTTCTGGCTGTGTCTTGAAGAAATCACTTAATCAATTAGCTTTTCAAAATAGAGAAACTGAAGCCCAGAAAGATGACATGAAGTGCAGAAGGCCACGCAGCTGGTGGTCATTGGAGCTGTAAGTCAAATGCGGATCTCTTACTCTTTTCCTGCCCACGACATGTAGAGAATGGTGCCGGGCATCCCTAAGCAGAAGCATTAACTGTGTCATTTTGGAGATTGTACCCAGATGTCCTTTCAGATTCCTTTCACTTAAAAGTTTGAAGACACTTGGACTTTTTCTTAGCATCTAGTGGAAATGTCATACCCTGTAGAGTAGAGGACTTTTCCAGAGAAGCCTCTTTCCTTATTAACCTGGTTCTTGTGGAATATTTGTTTCAGCCAAGTTTTGGAACTTCTCCTTAGGTATAGGGTTGGGAGGTGGACAAACAATTGTGGTATCTTCACGTTATTCAACCAATCTGGAACTTTCTTTGTATCTTCTAGGATCCTTCTAAAGAGGCGTCACTCAGTTCAGAACTTGCAATGCTAGTTGAGCTTTTATTCAGAGTTGTAGAATCTAATGGCAGGGTTGAGCCTGAGAGTTCCTTTCATCTGGGTGATTTCAGCATTCAAACGTGTTTTGTTTGTGCTGCAGTGGTAAACAGCATTGAAATAGTTGCAGATATTTAACATCCAGGAAATTTCTTGTAAAAATGCAGATATCTCAGTTTTCAGGAAGAACAGAAGATCTGGTAATAGTTGATCCACATTCCCACGTGGAAAACACATGGGCTGGGTCTGGGCAGCAGGTGCTCCCTGTAGGTGGGGCATGTAGTCCCCAATCCTCCACAGCCCCTGTGGGACCTGATTTAGGCTACCAAGTTTTTGAGTTTGTCAACACTGGTCTCTTCCAGCCTCTTATGTGTTCAAATCATTCTCTTTCGAGGGAAACCTAGTTCTATATAATAATAGGCCAGGCCACAGATCAATGTCACCAAGGAGGAGATGAAATTAATTCTTTGGTCCTAACCTCTCATTATTTAAGAGGCAGAAGGAGGAATGATGACTTCAGCAGAACATGCCATTGGCTCCGATACCTACCCAGGATGTTAAGCCAGATATTGAGGCTAAGTGACTTGAAAGCTAAAATATTAAGGAAGCTGATGCAATTCCAGCATAATTTCCAGATGCCTGCCAGAGAAAAGGGAGGAAAATTGACAAATGCACAGTAATACTCTTTACTCAAGAGGTCATGGCATAAAAATAAGAAAAGAAGTTACTATGTATGATAGTACATGGATAGCAACACAATGCCTTGCCTTCACGAAGAAGGCAGAACAAATCACTGAAATCCTGGAAACAAGCTTAATAACATGTTTTTTTATAATCCATTCACTAATAAATAATTTCCTGTCGATCACTTATGGTGTACATCACCCTAAGCTTGGGGATTTGGGGGTGAAGAGCAATGACCCTTCCCCAAAGCATCTTATTAGTACTGAAAATGTGTACACAAATAACTACAACACAAGATAAGACGTGATGAATGATACAAGAAGAAGAAAGCAAATGTTCTTGGTTTTACTGAGTAAGGAGATATTTATGGCAACTAGGTAGGTGGTCATCGAGGATGGTTGTAAGGAAGAAACGGCATTTGGCCTGGGCTTTGAACAGATAGAGGTGAGAAGAGTTTCTAGCAAAAGAATTTAAGCAAACTCATAAGTCAGTACTGTCTGAAGCCTACTTGAAGGATAGAGAACATTCGCTGTGGCTGTGTATGGGACCAATGAGACAGTAGGGCAAATGAGGTTGGAAATTTGGGTGTGCACCAGATCCTGGGTGCTGAGTGGTAGGCTGAGGGCTTCAGATCAGGCAGAACATGGTGACTTTGAGGAGCATTACAACTATTGACCAGGCATCTAGTCCAAGCTCATGACTCTCCAAGTCCATAATTGGGCAGTGACGGAATATCCGTGTAGGTATCACTTAGCTCTGCTTTAAGTTTTTCAGAAGAATTAAGAGCTACAAAACAGAATTGAGTACTTCTAAACACAGTGGACAGTATCAGATGCTTAGTGAGGGAGGCAAGGTGATATTATACAGTGGAATCAGAAAGATGGATGAAAACATTTTTAAAATACGTTAAGCAACTTGTAAGGAATATTTTGAAAAATGTGGTTAAAATTTCTTTTTTTTATTCTATTTTTTAAATTCTATTCTTCTGGGTTATCTGAAAGTTAGAAAAGTGATGTTGCATAAGTCCTTAACTTGTGGGATATGGAGGGTCATTTTTAGTTGATAAGCTTTGTCCTTTGGTCTGGGAGGCAGTCACTCCCTAAAGAATAGTTATAGAACGTTCTTGGATGTCCTGGCCCTAGACTCTTGCGTAATAAACACTGCTGGAGAATTCCATAAATACGTGAATGCTCTGCTGTGGTTTTTAGCATTCCTGATGGGCTGAAGGGAAGGTTCTGGTCTTGTGAGGGGCTCCACCAGTCACCAGAACAGTGTTTACATACATACCCCAAGGGATTTATGGAACTAACCAAACTTTCTCATTTTCATGCACATGGGTGTGTGTGAGATCTGTTCGGAATTGTACCTCTATCTCAAATGTCTTTGCTTCAAGGGAAGTAGGTAGGTGATGTGGCACAGACTCAAATGAAGTATGCGAACAAGATTGATTCATTCAAAACTGTGTATTGATCAGCTCTGCTGTTCAATACAAACATCTTTTCAAATTTCACTCATTCAAAACTATTTACTGAACATGTGTTCAGGGTTTGGGAAAATAGCAGCAGTGAGTGAAAAGAAATAATCTCTGCCCTCAGGTAGCTTACATTTCTAATGAGACAGATAGAAAATAAACAAAATCAATCAGTAAAATACGTTATTTATGAAACAGAGAGAAAAGTATAAAAGAGAAGGGGATAGGAAGTCTTGGAGAGTTGAGATTTTGGAGAGGGTACTTAGAGAGTAGCAAGTAGTTATTTGAGTAAAGATCCTAATAATACAAGGGAGTGAGCCATGTAAATACCTGGAGAAACAGCATGCCAGGCAGCTGGAACAGCAAGTGCAAAGGTCCTGAGGCAGGAGCGTGACTTCTTGGCACCTTTGAAGAATAAATCATAAACTGAACTGAGTGGGGAAATTTTTGAAAATGAAGTTAGAAAGATCATGGTGCAGTGAGGATGGGGGCAGCAATAATGCAGAGCCCTGTAAGACACAGTAAGGACTTTGATTTTCACTCTGAGTAAAATGGGATTCATTTCCACATTTTAGACAGAGAAATGACATGGTCTGACTTACATTTCAAAGGGATCCCTCTGTGTGTGTTGAGAATAGATGAGGGTGACGTCGGGACAGGGCAGGCAGAAGAAGGGAGATTAATTAGGGAGTTGTTACTATAATCCAGATGAGTGATGTGGAAGCTTGAACAAACAGGTAGTGCTGGAGGTGATGACAACTGTTTGGATCTTGTGGTTGATTGATTGAATGGCGAATAATGAGACAGCAAGGAGATAATGATGAGGCCAAGATTTTTACTGAGCAACTGTTAGAAAGAAGTGGCCTTTATGGGAGATAGAGAAGACCTTAAGAGGCATAGGTTTTGAAGGAACATTAGGAGCTTACTTTTGGACAAGTTAAGTCAGAGATGTTGAGTACTGAGTTAATATATGTATCTGGGATTCAGTGAGGATATCTGAGCTGAAGATGAAAAGTGGGAGGTTGCAATATACATACACATGATATTTACAGCAATGAAATTAAAGGAGATCATCAAAGGAGTTAGTTTAGACAGAAAAGAGAAACTGTTTAAGGGCTGACTTGGGATGCCGTA